TTGATTTTGGCGAAGGGCACGCACCTCCGTGCAGGCTCGATCCCTGGCCCTGATCAGGGCACGTGGGGGAGGCAGTCAATCAAAGTGTCTCTCGCACATTGGTTTTTCTCCCTCCCGGCCTCCTCCCCTCCTCCCACTCTCTCTAAAACTCAATGGAAAGATATGCTTGGGTGAGAATTAACAAAAAGGAAAAAATAGAAGAAAAAAAGGAAATTTCTTTTAAGATAGGATCTTCAGTGTAAATGGTTTTCAAATACCTCTTCTGTTCCTGCTGCCGAGAACATGGCTGTGGGCCAGTTCCCCCGGAGGGGGTGGCTGTGGCCAGCAGGCACCTGGGAAGAGTTTGCTCAGTGAGGGAGGGTCCCTGTGGCCACGCCCTCCATCCAGGCCCCGGACTCAGGAGAAAGCTCGCTGGGCACTCAGAGAGGTGGGGCAGGCAGAGCCCCCTGCTGGGAGCTGCTCAGTTAGGGCTTCCTACTGAGGAGGGGTGGTGTGGGGGTTCAAATCGCCCCTCAGGCCCCCCCCCCCCCGTGCCCCTCGCTGGCTGGTACAGTCCTGGAGGCGCTTGCTTCCACCAGTAGAACGCTTGGCCGCCAGGTCCGAGATCCCACAGGCCCATCCCTAGCCTGGAAGGCCGTGGCCTGTCCGCTCACCGTTCTCGCTGTGGAAGCCAGGGTCCGGGTTTTCTTCTCCTGCGATTCTTCTTAAGTTTAAATCGTGGTTAAATTTACCCAGCATTTCCCGTTTTCACCTTTGTTTGCTTGTTTTTAATCCTCACCTCCGTTGAAAACCATTTGCCCGTATACACATTCCGGCTCTCTGTGTCCGCCTTCGCGTCAGCACCTTCTATTTGAATTACAGTTTGGAAGTCAGGACATGTGAGTGCTCCAGCTTTGCTTTTCTTTTTTCTTTTTTTTTCTCTTTTTTCTTTTTTTAAAACATATATCGAATATTTTATTGATTTTTCACGGAGAGGAAGGGAGAGGGATAGAGAGCTAGAAACGTCGATGAGAGAGAAACATCGACCAGCTGCCTCCCGCACACTCCCTACCGTGGATGTGCCCACAACCAATGTACATGCCCCTGACCGGAATCGAACCCGGGACCTTTCAGTCCGCAGACCGACGCTCTAGCCACTGAGCCACACCCGTTTCAGCCAACTTTGCTTTTCATTTCCAAGATTATTTGGGCTGTTCCGGGGCCCAGGACTCTGTGAACCTGAGGACGGATTTCCCGTTTCTGAAAGGCCCGTCGCTGGGATGCGGGGAGGGACGGCTCTGGATCTGGAGGTGCTTGGGGGGTGCGGACACCCGCACCGCTGGAGCCTCCAACCCTGAACACGGGTCTCTCCGGGGACTGCAGCCTTGGCAGTTTTCAGCGGGAAAATCTCTCACCTCCGTGGGTGGGCGTATGCCTGAGCGTGTCTTCTTCTCGCTGCTCCTGCCAGTGGACTGTTTACGTGACATCCTTTCCGCATTGTTTATTGCTCGAGTTTACAGAAACGCAGGGATTGTCTCTGCATTGCCTTTGTGTCCTGCACTTGCCCTGGATTCGTTTGATTTGTCTAACATCTGCATCGCTTTCGGAAACAGCCTTTGGGGGCTGTTTGCAGCGGCCCAAGACCTTTGCCAAACATCGTGGTGTTTGGAACGAGGTGGGGGGAGCGCTCTCCGCGAGGCGGGGGGCACCAGGATGCGGCGGTTTGCTTCTCCTCCCTCTGTGAGAGCTCAGGGCGGGAGCTCCGGCCGTGGTCTGGTACACGCGCGGTGGTGGTGACGGGGAGGGCCGCAGCCAGACACGCATCGGCTCCGGTGCCCACCTCTGCTGCCACCGGGTGGCTTCCTCCCCACCACGAGCCCCGCTCCTCACCTGCCACGATGGTGCCGCGTGGATGGGCGTGGGCTGCTGTGCGGGGAGCCGGTCTGGGACTCTCAGGAGCGACATACGTGTCCTCATGGCTGCCCGCCCGCCCAGGTGGGGGCTGTGCGGCCCGCCCTGGAGAGGGGCTGCCTCGGACCCTGGCTGCAGGAGCAATCCCAGCGCGGAGGCTCAGTGTGTTCTGTCTCCATCTGTCTCAGCAGGGACCCGGCGTGGCTCAGGTCCCGGGTTTGGGCAGCGGGCCCAGCGAGCGAGGCCAGGCTGTCCCCTGACAGGCCCAGGCGCAGGGGAGGAGTGCCCGCCCCGAATTCTGCGTCGAAGTCACTTGCCCTCGGCATCTGGGCGGCGGCCTGCGCGCCCTGGTTTCCAGGGTTCGTGCCGAAAACACCGCTGCTGCCCGGAGGCCTGCCCTCCGCGTAGGAGCGTTCATTCCTTAGTCGCTGCTATTCCCTATTCTGGGCCTCAGGCACCTGAGCGTTGGGAGCACCTACCCTCCAGGGTTGGGGAGAAGCCTGAGTGAGTGATCACGGAAGGCTGCTTGGAGGAGGTGGCACTTGGTCAGCTGACGGAGTGGAATTGGACTTGAGTGAGACAGGAGGGCAGGAAGCGGGTCCCAGGTGGACAGAACCGCATGCATGGTTATCCTGGACAGAATGGCAGGCAGCAGGTGAGATCAGTGCACCGACAGGGCCTGACCTGGAGGGGGCGCCATGCCCTGAGCTCTAATGCGGTGACATCCTTGGTTCCCAGCTCGCACCCTCCTGAGGGGCGGGGGGAGGGGTGTGATGGGGGTTTCTCGACCACTTCTGGGCGTGTGTGTCCTGTCAGGCTTGGTCCTGGGGGTCCCCGGGAGCCTCTGGTGCAGGGGCCTTCTGGGGAGGGCGAACGCGGAACCCTCAGTCCCTTCCCGCCCGGCATTGCATTCGCTCTGCAGCAGCCGCGGAACAAGCCCTCGCAGAGGATCGGACGGAATGTTCCTGTTTTTACAACATTCCCCGGAAAAACAAATGTTTGAAAGTTAAACATTTTGGTTATTAGGATGGAACAGAAGAGAAATTCCATTTGCCTTTTAAATATGGGCAGCAGGCAGCACTGCGAATCCTCAGCCTCCCTGCAGGCCCAGGGACAGGGGGGGCGGGCTGAGGGGGTGGGCCTGGGGGGTAGGGGGAGGGCCTGGGCAGGCTAGGGGGGGGGCCTGGGGGTGCTGAGGGTGAGGGCCTGGGGGGCTTCGGGGTAGGGGGAGGGCCTGGGGGGGTTGTGGGGGGGTAGGGGGAGGGCCTGGGGGGGTTGTGGGGGGGTAGGGGTGCTGGGGGTGAGAGGCCTGGGGGGCTGGGGGGTGGAGGGAGGGCCTGGGGGTGCTGGGGGGGTGGGGGAGGGCCTGGGCAGGGTTGAGGGGGGTGGGCCTGGGGGTGCTAGGGGTGAGGGCCTGGGGGACTGGGGGGTTGAGGGGAGGGCCTGGGGGGGCTGAGGGGGGGGCCTGAGGGGGCTTCGGGGTAGGGGGAGGGCCTGGGGGTGCTGGGGTGAGGGCCTGGGGGGCTTTCGGGGTAGGGGGAGGGCCTGGGGGTGCTGGGGGTGAGGGCCTGGGGGTGCTGGGGGGGTAGAGGGAGGGCCTGGGGGGCTGGGGGTGAGGGCCTGGGCAGGCTGGGGGGAGGGCCTGGGGGTGCTGGGGGTGAGAGCCTGGGGGGGCTGGGGGGTGGGGGGAGGGCCTTGGGGGGCTAAGGGGTGAGGGCCTGGGGCTGAGGGGGAGGGCCTGGGTGGGGCTGAGGGGGGTAGGGGTAGAGCCTGGCCAGGGCTGAGGGGGGAGGGCCTGGGGGGGCTGGGGGTGTGGGGGGAGGGCCTGGCCAGGGCTGAGGGGGGAGGGTCTGGGCGGGGCTGGGCAGGGCTGAGGGGGGAGGGCCTGGGCAGGATGGGCAGTGCTGGGCGGGGCTGGTTGGCAGCTCCAAGGGGTCTGCCTCTGCAGGACGGTCTGTCCCTCAGGGGTTGTCTGGACTCAGCTCAGGGCCGCTGCCCTGTGACCCCGGGCAGGTGACCAGGTGTCTCTTTGTGACCCCATCCTCCCATCGCCCCGGCTGACACCAGGCTGTGCTCTCAGCCTGCCGTTCCGAGGCTCTGACCCCGGGGCCTTGCCGGCCGTGGGCACGGTTTCCCGGGCCCCTGGCCCTGACGGTGCGGGGCCCTCGGGGTGCGCGTGGCGGGAGGCAGCTGCAGGGAGTGAACACACGTCCCCTCTGGCTCTGGCCGATCCTCAGGGTCTGGTGGCCCAGAATTCTCGGCTGGCGCCTGCCCAGCGCAGAGAACGGGGCGGCAGAGCGGGTGAGGCACCTGCCCTGGCCCCAGCAGGCGAGCAGCAAGGCCACACTGGGCGTCAGCCCTCGTGACCCCCACATGGGTCAGCAGGTCAGATCCCAGGGCCGCCAGCTACGAGGCGAGATGAGAGCCCGCCTGGAAGGTTCCATGGGCTCTGCCTTTCCCGGGGGGGGGGGGGGGGGGGGCGCCGACAATGGGGTTCAGGAAAGGCAGTCCTCTCTGTGTGACCTCTGTGACCTTCCCCGGCTGCCCAGGCCGTCTCTCCTCTTCCTCCAGTCTGAGCATCGCCAGGGGTGGTCCTCTGCACCGTGTCACCCTGGGGTGCTGTCGGGGCCTCGCTGGCCCATCCTGCTGGGGCCTGCGGGGACAGAGATGGTGGAGCAGATACAGCCACCCCGGGGCTGCTCAGCACCGGGCCCGGCCAGTGGGGTGGGCAAGGTGGGGAGGCGGGAGGGCCTTGGAGGGCCTGCATGGGAGCCCCCGGGGGCGGCGGCCAGGTCTGTTCCCGCCCTGCCTCAGGGACCGCAGTCCCTGCGGGGCGGGGCCCGGACATGAGTGAGGGGCCTGGGGGTGAGTGCTGGGGACCCGTGGGGGCGGCACCCTGATGTCTGCCTCCCGCCCGGGGGAGGACTGGCAGGATCAGCCGATTTTAAAACGGGTGATTTTTAGAAAACAGAAAGAACGCCATTGTACTGGGGACCGCTGGCTTTAGCTTTGTGCCGGCAACAAATGCAGATGGAAAACGCGCAGGGGCTTTGCCGCACAGGCGGCGCCTGCGGGCCGGCCGGCAGCCTGGTGTCCGTGTCCGCCCGCAGGCGGCCTGCCCTACGAGTACAAGATCGTGATCGCCGGCAACCACGAGCTGACCTTCGACCAGGAGTTCATGGCCGACCTCATCAAGCAGGACTTCTACTACTTCCCGTCCGTGTCCAAGCTGAAGCCGGAGAACTACGAGAACGTGCAGGCGCTGCTGACCAACTGCATCTACCTGCAGGACGCCGAGGTCTCCGTGCGCGGCTTCCGCATCTACGGCTCCCCATGGTGAGTCCCCCGGCGAGTCCCGCCTGGGCGGAGGCGGAGGCGGAGTGTGGGGCGGGGAGGGCAGGGGGGGGCTGAGGCGGAGTGTGGGGCGGGGAGGGCAGGGGGGGGGACTGAGGCGGAGTGTGGGGCGGGGAGGGCAGGGGGGGACTGAGGCGGAGTGTGGGGCGGGGAGGGCGGAGGGCGGGCGGAGGCGGAGTGTGGGGCGGGGAGGGCGGGGGGGGGGGACTGAGGCGGAGTGTGGGGCGGGAGGGCGGGGGGGGGGGCTGAGGCGGAGTGTGGGGCGGGGAGGGCGGGGGGGGGGACTGAGGCGGAGTGTGGGGCGGGGAGGGCGGGGGGGGACTGAGGCGGAGTGTGGGGCGGGGAGGGCAGGGGGGGGGACTGAGGCGGAGTGTGGGGCGGGGAGGGCAGGGGGGGGACTGAGGCGGAGTGTGGGGCGGGGAGGGCAGGGGGGGACTGAGGCGGAGTGTGGGGCGGGGAGGGCAGGGGGGGGAGGGCAGGGGGGGGACTGAGGCGGAGTGTGGGGCGGGGAGGGCAGGGGGGGGAGGGCAGGGGGGGGGACTGAGGCGGAGTGTGGGGCGGGGAGGGCGGAGGGCGGGCGGAGGCGGAGTGTGGGGCGGGGAGGGCAGGGGGGGACTGAGGCGGAGTGTGGGGCGGGGAGGGCAGGGGGGGGACTGAGGCGGAGTGTGGGGCGGGGAGGGGGGGGGGGGGACTGAGGCTGAGTGTGGGGCGGGGAGGGCAGGGGGGCACTGAGGCTGAGTGTGGGGCGGGGAGGGCAGGGGGCGGAGGGCAGGGGGGGGACTGAGGCGGAGTGTGCGGTGGGGAGGGCAGGGGGGGGACTGAGGCGGAGTGTGGGGCGGGGAGGGCAGGGGGGGGACTGAGGCGGAGGGTGGGGCGGGGAGGGCGGGGGGGGGGACTGAGGCGGAGTGTGGGGCGGGGAGGGCAGGGGGGGGACTGAGGCGGAGTGTGGGGCGGGGAGGGCAGGGGGGGGGACTGAGGCGGAGTGTGGGGCGGGGAGGGCAGGGGGGGGACTGAGGCGGAGTGTGGGGCGGGGAGGGCAGGGGGGGGGGACTGAGGCGGAGTGTGGGGCGGGGAGGGCGGGGGGGGGGCGGAGGCGGAGTGTGGGCGGGGAGGGCAGGGGGCGGAGGGCAGGGGGGGGGACTGAGGCGGAGTGTGGGGCAGGGAGGGCAGGGGGGGGGACTGAGGCGGAGTGTGTGCGGTGGGGAGGGCAGGGGGGGGACTGAGGCGGAGTGTGGGGCGGGGAGGGCGGGGGGCGGGGGGACTGAGGCTGAGTGTGGGGCGGGGAGGGCAGGGGGGGGGACTGAGGCTGAGTGTGCGGCGGGGAGGGCGGGGGGGGGGGACTGAGGCGGAGTGTGGGGCGGGGAGGGTAGGCTGGCTCCGGTCCTAAAGCCTGGCCTGCCAGGGCCGTGCGCTCCCTGACCCGGCCTGGAGCTGTGAAATGGGCTCGAGTCTCCCTCCCAGGCCGTGCCAGGGAGAGCAGGGGCCAAGCTGGGACCTGGCCTGGCTCTGCAGGCGCCTTAGTGGGACCCCCCCTCCCCCCGAATCAAGTCAGGAGGCTGTGTCTGTGCAGGGGGAGCCGTGACCCCTGCCCGCGTCTGGCCCAGGCACCCACTGGCCTGAGACAGCTCAGGAGGGACCGGAGGCCCCGCAGGGTCGCGGCCAGGGTGCCTGTGCTGCTCCCGTCCCATCCTCCCTCCCGGGGCCGCACAGCTGTCGGCCTCACACGACCGGCAGAGCACGGACTGTGTCCAAGGACGAACACCCTCAGTCTCTGGTCCTGATCTGCTGTACAAACATGTACACACACCACCCACACAGGCACACATGTAACGCACTGCATGCAGACACAGATACCACACAACTATATGCGTGTACACAGCATGATGACATGCACGCACACACCACACACCATGTGTGCACATATCACACACCACACTGTAACACACATGCTACACCCAACCTACACACATGTATGCACATACCAGGTGTACTGGTTAATAATGGCAGGTTTTATAATAAAAGAAAACACAATAATTTCAAGAGAAACATCAAAAGTGCTTTATTCAAAGTAATGTCCATCGCTAGCTACTCATTTCCCCATCTTTCAGGGAATTTGTGGATACCTTCCCAATAGAACTTTTCTTGTTTTGAGGCAAACCATTCAGAGGCTCCATTCTCCACTTCTTTGTACGTTTTGAGGTGCTGCTCAGACAGTGCGTGTGCCATCGATTGGAACACGTGGTCATCTGAAGGAGCGAGGGCTGGTGAATACGGCGGGTGGGTTAATACTCCCAGGCAAGATCTTTTAAAGTGTCTTTAACTGGTTTTGAAGTGTGTGATGGTGCGTCATCATGAAGCAAAATTACTATGCCATGTCTATTGGCACATTCTGGTCGTTTTATGATCAAACTGTGATTCAAATTGATTATTTGTAGTTTGGAGGGATCAGTATTATTAGTTTCACCTGGTTTTAGAAGCTCATAATACACCACACCTTCCTGTTCTGTCGGTAGCGATCAGTATTAACGGTTTCACCCGGTTTTAGAAACTCATCCACACCACACCTTCCTGGTCCCACCAAATGCAGAGCACTGTCTACTTTCTGAAGCGATTTGGCCTTGCAGTCTATGTTGATGGTTGACCTGGATCAACCCATGGTTTTGTGCATGTGGGATTCTCAAAATAAATCCACTTTTCATCGCCAGTCACAATTAGATGTAAAAAAAGACTTTCTTTCTTGCCATTGAAGCAATATTTTACTGATGACTTTTCAGTTTTCCATTTGTCTTTCGTTCAGTTGATGTGGCACCCATTTTCCTTCCTTTAAAACCCTTCCATTGCTTGTAAATTATCGGAAAGTGTTTGCTGAGCAACGTTTAATCTTTTTGCAAGTTGCTTTTGAGGTTGACACGCATCTTCATCCTATAGTGCTTGTCACTGTTGGTCTTCAGTCTTTTTCTGTTGACCTGGACGTTGTCTTTCACCTCGAAATCACCACTTTTGAAGCGCCAGCGCTCCCAAAGATCTTGAGGTGCAGCATACTCACCATAAACTTCCCGAAGTATGCGGTCACTTTTTCCTCAAAATAAAGTAATGAATTAAAACTTCCCGCAAGTTTTTTTTTTTGGCACGAAATTGGACATTTTTAAGTGTAAAAATATCTATGATGTTAACACCTTCAGCAAATTTGACATATGAAGTTTTGAAGCTTGTTGTCAATACAACAAAATAGCACACATATAAAATCACACATATATGAACATATGTGTAACTCCATCTATTGAAAAAAAATCCACATTATTAACTGGTAAACCTAGTACACTCCACACAGCCACACACATGCACACATATACTCAAAACATACTCTTGCATGCACCCCACACCCTCCCACATCACGCAACCCTCCACACTCACTCCTTTCGCACACTCACATGCGTCTTTCTTTCCTTCTTTCTTTTTTAAAAATATATTTTATTGATTTTTTACAGAGAGGAAGGGAGAGGGAGAGAGCTAGAAACGTCGATGAGAGAGAAACATCGACCAGCTGCCTTCTACACACCCCTCACTGGGGATGTGCCCGTAACCAAGGTACATGCCCTTGACCGGAATCGAACCCAGGACCTTTCAGTCCGCAGACCGACGCTCTACCACTGAGCCAAACCGGTTTCGGCTCACACGTGTCTTTCTCACACCTGGTCTCCGCCCCTCTCCTGTCCTATCTTTTTGCCCTCATGTGTTTTCTTCACAGAGCCCCTCAGCACACACACAGCACACACAGCCCACACAGCACACACACAGAACACACACAGCACCTGCACAGCACACACAGCCCACACAGCACACACGCATCTCACACACCACACACGCACAGCACACACAGCACGCAAAGCACACACACAGCACCTGCACAGCACACACAGCCCACACAGCCCACACAGCGCACACACAGCACGCACAGCACACACAGCACGCACAGCACACAGAGCACACACACAGCTCACAAGCTCACACACAGCACACACACAACTCACACAGCACACAGCACACACAGAGCACACACAACTCACACAGAGCACACACAGCTCACACAGCACATACACAGTTCACACAGCACACACACAGCACACACATAGCTCACACAGCACACATACAGCAGGCCTCAGGGTGACCCGGGGCTCCGGGAAGGGGGGGCCTCAGGGTGACCCCGGGGCTCCGGGAAGGGGGGGCCTCAGGGTGACCCCGGGGCTCCGGGAAGGGGGGGGCCTCAGGGTGACCCCGGGGCTCCGGGAAGGGGGGGCCTCAGGGTGACCCCGGGGCTCCGGGAAGGGGGGGCTCAGGGTGACCCCGGGGCTCCGGGAAGGGGGGGCTCAGGCAGTGACCCCGGGGCTCCGGGAAGGGGGGGCTCAGGGTGACCCCGGGGCTCCGGGAAGGGGGGCTCAGGCAGTGACCCCGGGGCTCTGGGAAGGGGGGGCTCAGGGTGACCCTGGGGCTCCGGGAAGGGGGGCTCAGGCAGTGACCCCGGGGGCTCGGAGGGAGGCAGGAAGGTCCCGACGCCGGAGCACAGGACGGAAACCCTGGCGGCCGAGAGGCTGGGTGCGGGTCTGACCCGAGGGCTCAGCAGGCCCCTGAGCAGGGCCGCGGTGGGCGGGCGCGGCCCCGGGAGCCGGAGGCTGCGGGTGAGGAGCACCGGGCAGCAGAGCGGAGGCGGGAGGGCCGCGGGGCTGAGGCTCAGGCAGCAGCTGCCGCTGATGGGGGCGCCCCGGCCTGGCCGCCCCGGGGCCTGGTGTGGTGGACCGTGGGGCGGGGGGGGTGGTGCGGGGGGGGCAGGAGGCCCGGGGCCTGGTTGTGGTGGCCGTGGGGCGGGGGGGGGGGGGGCGGGGGCCCGGGGCCTGTGTGGTGGCCGTGGGGCGGGGGGGGGGGGCGGGGCCCGGGGCATGGTGTGGGTGGCCGTGGGGGCACGGAGGGGGGGGGGGGCGGGGGCCCCGGGGCCTGGTGTGGTGGTGGGGCCGTGGTGCGGGGGGCGGGCGGGGGGTGGGGGGGGGTGCGTGGGGGGGGGGGTGCGGGGGGGGCATGAGGCCCGGGGCGTGTGTTGTGGTGGCCGTGGGGCGGGGGGGGGGGTGGGGGGGGGGGGGGGCCGGGGCTGGTTTGGTGCCTGTGGGGGGGGGGGGGGGGCGGGGGCCTGGGGGGGGCCGGGGCCATGGCTGGTTGTGTTGGATGTGGGGTGGGGGGGGGGGGCCCGGGGCCTGTGTGGTGGCGGGGTACGGGGGTGGTGGGGGGGGGGGGGGGGCCCGGGGCGCTGGTTGTGGTGGGCTGGGGGCGGGGGGGGGGGTTGGGGGGGGGCAGGAGGACCGGGGCCTGGTGTGGTGGAAGTGGGGCGGGGGGTGGGGGGTGTTGGGGGGGCGGGGGCCCGGGGCCTGGTGTGGTGTCCGGGTGGGGCGGGTGGGGGGGTTGGGGGGGGGGGCCCGGGGCCTGGTGTGGTGGCCGTGGGGGCGGGGGGGTGTTGGGGGGGCGGGGCACGGGCCTGGTGTGGTGGCCGTGGGGCGGGGGGGGGTTGTGGGGGCGGGGGGCCCGGGGCCTGGTGTGGTGGCCGTGGGGCGGGGGGGTGTTGGGGGGCGGGGGGCCGGGGCCTGGTGTGGTGGCCGTGGGGCGGGGGGGGGGGGGAGGCCCGGGGCCCTGGTGTGGTGGCCGTGGGGCGGGGGGGGGGGGCAGGAGGCCCGGGGCCTGGTGTGGTGGCTGCAGGGCGGGGGCTGGGGGGGCAGGAGGCCCGGCCGCCCCTGTCGGTGTCCTCCCACCTGCTGCCTCCTCTGGGCCGTGTCCTGTCTGCCTGGCCGTGCTCACGGCGCCGAGGGGAGCGAGCCGTGGCTCCGTGGCGCCGTGGCTCTGTGGCTCCGTGGCGGGCTTGGGGGCTGGGGGGCGGGGGGGCTTCCCGGTGCTACGGGCACGGCTCCGGGCTCTGCGGGCGGGTGAGCCGGCTGTCACCGGTCACCGGTGACCCTGCACTTGACCCTCTGGGCGCACAGAGACGCCCTGCGTCTGGGAAGCGGGCAGCGATGGCGCTGCCTCCCTGGGGTGGGGCTGGGCTGGGCAGGGGTGCCCCTCTGTCCTGCTCAGAGGCCCCCATGCTCCACTCTCTGGCCATCAGACCCTGGTCAGGGTGTACCGCGCCCCCCCACGGGCACCTGGGCCTCCTCCACCCCACACCCCAGTCCCCGGAGCTGACCGAGGGCCTTCGCTGGCACCGCTGGCCCAGGAGCTGGGCACCTTCCCGGGTGACAGCCTGTTCGCAGACAAGCCCCCTCCGCCGAGCCCGGGTTCACGCTGAGGGGAGGGGGGAGGGGAGAGGGGGAGGGGGAGGGGGGAGGGGAGGGAGGAGTGAGAGGAGGGTGGGGGATGGGGAGGGGAAGGGGGAGGGGGAGAGGGAGGGGGAGGGGAGAGGGGGAGGAAGGAGGGGAGGGAGGAGCGGAGAGGAGGTGGGGGAGGGGGGAGGGGACAAGGGAAGGGGAGGGGAGGGAGAGGGGAGGGGTAGGGGTAGGGGAAGGGGGGTAGGGAAGGGGGTAGGGGAGAGGAGGTGGGGGTGGGGGGAGGGGGGAGGGGAGAGGGAGGGGGAGAGGGGAGGGGAGAGGGGAGGGGGGAGGGGAGGGGGAGAGGGGAGGAGGGGGGGGAGGGGGGAGGGGAGAAGGAAAGGGGAGGGGAGAGGGGAGGGGAGAGGGGTGGGGGAGGGGTGAGCCGAAAGGAGGTGGGGAGGGGGGAGGGGAGAGGAGGTGAGGGTGGGGAGGGGGAGGGGAGGGGAGGGGGAGGGGAGGGGGGGGAGCGGGGAGGAGGTGGGGGAGGGGGGAGGGGAGGGGGAGGGGAAGCTGGAGGAGGTGGGGGAGGGGGAGGGGAGGGGGAGGGGGAGGGGAAGCTGGGAGAGGTGGGGAAGGGGAGGGGGGGAGGGAGGGGGGAGGGGAGGGGGGAGGGGAGGGGGAGGGGAGGGGGAGGGGAAGGGGAGGGGAGGGGGAGGGGGAGCGGGGAGGGGGAGGGGAGGGGGAGGGGGAGCGGGGGAGGAGGTGGGGGAGGGGGAGCGGGGAGGATGTGGGGGAGGGGGGAGGGGGAGGGAGAGGAGGTGGGGGAGGGGGAGGGGGAGGGGAGAGGGGGGAGGGGAGGGGGAGGGGCGGGAGGGGGTCGTTTGTGTTGCTAAGCGGGTTGTAACGAGCCGCGGGCGGAGAGGGGCAGGGGCGGGCGGGGTCCGTGGGCCTCGGAGAGGCTGCTCCGTGCTCGGCGCTCGGTTTAAAGTTTGAATTAATTTCTCCCATGGGTTTGCTCACATTCTAATTTTCAACTAAATGAGACATCTGTTTCAGAAAAGGAAAATTTGCTCGGGTTGTCATGGCAACTCTCGTTCTGTAAGGAAATTATTCCGATGGTGACTTCACCACGGAAAGGCAGGAATCCGCCGAGCCGCCTCCCCCGCAGGCGGGATTCTGGTCTCGGCCTCCGGCTCCGGCCGCCCTCCGGAGGCAGGGCCGGGGGGGGGGGGGGGGGCGGGGGGAGGCGGGGGCGGGGAGGGGGGCCGGGGTGAGGCCGGGGGCGGGGGGCCCAGGGGGCCGGGGCGAGGCCGGGGGCGGGGGGGCCGGGGGGCCAGGGGGAGGCGGGGGGCGGGGGGCGGGGGGGCCGGGGCGAGGCTGGGGGTGCGGACAGGACTCCTGTGACCACGGCTGCCCAGCGGGCGGGGTGGGCATGGTGAGGGCGGGCGGCGGGCGGCGGGCCCTGTGGACCCGGGCCCAGGGCCTGGCTGGGCAGCGCCCGGTGTGCGGCCCAGACTGCCCGGGAGAGGCCGGTGGCCTCAGCAAGGACAGCGCCCCCGTCTCCTCCCACAGCCGACACCGGGCGACACCCACAGGCGGGCCACCCCGGAGAGCCCGTCCCGCCTGGGCCCACCTGCCCCCGGAAAGGCCCAGGAGGGGCTCCCGAGGGGTTTGGCCTCCTGCGCCCCCAGGTCCAATGGGAGCCGGGGCGTGGCCTCACGGACAGGGCTGGCATGGGCGGCCCACAGAGGTGGGGCCCCTCGGCCCTCTCAGACGCCCCCTGCCAGCCCTGGGAGGGCACGTGGCCGGCCCGGAGAGGTGACGGGCAGAGCCGTGGGCAGAGCCCTTCCCCCCAGGAGGGCACACGGCGGCCCTGAGCGGGCCCTGACCGTCCGGAGCGGCCCTGCCCCACCCGGGCGCTGCCCCAGGCCAGCCTGTGGGTCTCCTGGCCCCAAAGACAGGCGTGGGGGAGGGGCATGGCGGGAGGGGGGAGGGGCATGGTGGGAGGGGGCATGGCAGGAGGGGGCGGGGAGGGCGGGGAGGGAGGCGGGCGCAGTGGTGGCAGCCCCGAGTCCTGCCTGGTGAGACCCGCGAGGGCCTGCCGCAGCCACGCCAGGCCCAGCCGGGCTCCGCGGGCACCCGGGCGGCCCCAGGAAGGTCAGAGCCCGGTGCTCACCGCCCGCTCTGGCCCCTCCTCCCAGGCAGCCCTGGTTTTACGGCTGGGGCTTCAACCTCCCGCGAGGACAGGCCCTGCTGGACAAGTGGAACCTCATCCCAGAAGGCCTGGACATCCTCATCACCCACGGGCCCCCGCTGGGTAAGACCCGCCCAGCCCGCCCAGCCCACCCAGCCCAGCCCAGCCCGCCCAGCCGCCCAGCCCAGCCCGCCCAGCCCACCCAGCCCAGCCCAGCCCACCCAGCCACCCAGCCAGCCGCCTGCCCAGCCCGCCCATCCCAGCCCAGCCCAGCCCAGCCCGCCCAGCCCGCCCAGCCCGCCCGCCTGCCCAGCCCGCCCAGCCCAGCCCAGCACCCCCAGCCCGCCCAGCCAGCCCGCCCAGCCCAGCCCAGCCCCAGCCCGCCCAGCCCAGCTCCAGCCCCAGCCCCAGCCCAGCCCAGCCCAGCCCAGCCCGCCCAGCCCAGCCCAGCCCAGCCCAGCCAGCCCAGCCCAGCCCAGCCCGCCAGCCCAGCCAGCCCGCCCGCCCAGCCCAGCCCAGCCCAGCCCAGCCAGCCAGCCCGCCCAGCCCAGCCCCAGCCCAGCCCCAGCCCAGCCCCAGCCCCAGCCCAGCCCAGCCCCAGCCCCAGCCCCAGCCCCAGCCCAGCCCAGCCCAGCCCAGCCTGCCCGCCCAGCCCGCCAGCCCAGCCCAGCCCCCAGCCCCAGCCCAGCCCAGCCCAGCCCAGCCCAGCCTGCCCGCCCAGCCCGCCCAGCCCAGCCCAGCCCCGCCCCAGCCCAGCCCAGCCCCAGCCCAGCCCGCCCAGCCCGCCCAGCCCAGCCCAGCCCAGCCCGCCCAGCCAGCCCAGCCCGCCCAGCCAGCCCAGCCCAGCCCAGCCCGCCAGCCCAGCCCGCCAGCCCAGCCCAGCCCAGCCCAGCCCAGCCAGCCCGCCCGCCCAGCCCAGCCCAGCCCAGCCAGCCCGCCCAGCCCAGCCCAGCCCAGCCCGCCCAGCCAGCCCAGCCCCAGCCCCAGCCCCAGCCCCAGCCCCAGCCCAGCCCAGCCCCAGCCCCAGCCCCAGCCCCAGCCAAGCCCAGCCCCAGCCCCAGCCCCAGCCCAGCCCAGCCCCAGCCCCAGCCCCAGCCCAGCCCAGCCCAGCCCAGCCCAGCCCGCCCAGCCCGCCCAGCCCAGCCTGCCCAGCCCAGCCCAGCCCAGCCCAGCCAGCCCGCCCGCCCAGCCCAGCCCCAGCCCAGCCCGTCTAGCCCCAGCTAAGCCTCTGCCCCAGCCCAGCCCAGCCCAGCCCAGCTCCAGCCCAGCCCCAGGCCAGCCTGCCCAGCCCACCCAGCCCGCCCAGCCAGCCCAGCCCAGCCCAGCCCCAGCCCAGCCCCAGTCTAGCCCCAGCTAAGCCCCTGCCCCAGCCCAGCCAGCCCAGCCCCAGGCCAGCCTGCCCTCTCCTGGAGGACGCTGAGGGTGGGTGTGTGTGGAGCCAGTTGCTGGGGCATCAGGAGTCGCCCTGTTGGCTTCCCAATCCCCTGAGCCGGGCTGGGTTTGTGACTCCGCAGACTCCTCCAGCCCCGCAGGAGGTCAGGATCGCTGCCGGGTTACACGTGTGGTGGCTGGAGCTTCCTGTCACACAGGAAGGAGCCGCCCTACTGTGTGCCAGAGTCAGAAAGCAGCTCAGAGTCCTGGGCACTCGCACCCAGGGCCACCCCACCCCTCCTCACCTGGCCCCTTCCCGCCCCTCAGCCCCTTCGATTCCACCTCCAGGCTGTCCCAGCCACTCCCTCTCTCCACATCTGCCCTCCCCAGTGGCTCTCTGACCACCTCCTCACTGGCCCACAGCCCCAAGTCCCGCCCCTTCCGCTTCCCTCTTCACACCAGCTGTCGGTTATGCCATGCTCTCCCTACGGGCAGAGGGCCCAGAACGGCCCAGCCCCCGGGACACGCTCAGGGTTCGGGAAGCCTGAGGCAGAGCAGAGACAGCTGCCAGAGGGGGCCAGGGAGCTTGGGGAGGAGGGGCCCACAGAGTGGGGACTGGGGGAGGCAGGGAAGGGAGGGGGGGGGCGTCCCAGGTGGGAGGGCCCAGGGCAGCTGGTGTCATTGGCTCACACTGTGCAGGAGGGAGCTGCCCTACTGTGTGCCAGCGCCCAGCCAGGGCCCACGGAGTGCTGAGAGGAAGGCTTTGCTACCCCCGTTTTCAAATGGAGGAGCCCCCAGTCCCAGGCCCTGGCAGGGTTTAGGGGCGACACAGGGCTGTGTGAGCCCCACGGGGAGCCAGCTGACCACACCCGTGTCGGTCCTCCGTGAGGCTCTGGGGCGGGCTGCTGTCCTCCCTCCCTCCCTCAGTCCGTCTGTCCAAACACTTATCTTTGGGGGTCCTCACCCCCTTCACACACACACACACACACACACACACACACGCACACACACGTACACACACGTGCACACACGCATGCACACACACACACAGCCCCTGTGGTGGGAACGCCTGTGTGCCCGGCCCGGACGCCTGGGTGCATTGCTGAATGAAACCAACGCACAGAGAGGTCACAGGACTCTCCGAGGTCACACAGCCAGGGGGACCTAATACCCAGGGACCTGATACCCAGGCGCCTGCCCCAAGCCTCTCCCCGCCCGCTTCCCGCCTCTTCTCTCCCTCCTCCCGTCCCCCTCCTCCCTCCTTTCATTCTCTCGCTGCCTCGTCTCTCTCCCTCTTTCTCCCTCTCTCATCTCAAGTGAATGTGTGTTGCCACCTGCCTGATTCTCTGAGTCGAGGGGCCGTGTGCCCGCCCCCCAGCAGTTGTGAAAGCCCGTTGTGCCCACCCAAACAGGGGGGCGAGGGGCGAGGTGCCGCCTGGGTAATCAGCTCTGCTTTGTGTGCGTGGCCTGCAAGGCTCACCAGCAGCTGCCATGTGGGCGCCGGGAGGCTGGCGGCACACCCAGGCTTTTCATGCTTCCGTGACGTTTGTTCAGAAGGTTTCAACGTGGCAGCCTCGCCCCGCTCCTCTCCGCAGCTGGCGCGGGTGCCCGGCCTCTCCTGCCCCCTCAGGCCTCCGTTTGCTTGTCGCCGCAGTGGTGGGTGCCACCCTTGGGCCACTGTGAGCATGGATGGCCAGGGCTCCCGTGTTCCAGCACTCCCGCCCTCCCCCCTCCACCCTGGGCTCTTGTCAGCTGGCTGTGTGGCCAGCCGGGTGGGGCTGGCTGGGCGAGCGTGCTGGGTGTGGGAGCTGCGCCCGGCCTGTGAGTCCAGACGCCCGGTCCCCGGGGCGGCAGAGGCCGCTGACCGGGACTGGGTGAGCCACACCTCACTGCCCTGCTCTCCCCGCGCAGGCTTCCTGGACTGGGTGCCCAAGAAGATGCAGCGGGTGGGCTGCGTGGAGCTGCTCAACACGGTGCAGAGGCGCGTCCAGCCGCGGCTGCACGTCTTCGGCCACATCCACGAAGGTCAGCTACGGGGCGGGCGGGGCCGCACGTACCAGGGCTCCTCACGGCTCTTTAGAAGGCAGCTCGCCTCCTTCCACCCAGTGATCTCCTGCGAGTTCTCTGGTGGAGGGAGTGGCCCGTTGGGGTTGGTGATGATGGTGATGCTGCTGCTGGTGGTGATAGTGATGATGGTGATGGTGGTGGTGATGATGTGATGGGTGTTGGTGATGGTGGTGATGGTGGTGACGGTGGTGACGATGATGGTGATGGTGGTGATGGTGATGATGGTGATAGAGATGGTGGTAGTGATGATGATGGTGATTGTGATGGTGGTGATGGTGATCATGGTGATGATGGTGATAGAGATGGTGGTAGTGATGATGATGGTGATTGTGATGATGATGATGGTGGTGATGGTGATCATGGTGATGGTGATGATGATGGTGGTGGTAATGGTGGTGGTGATGGTGGTGATTGTAGTGATGGTGATGATGGTAATAGTGGTGATGGTGGTGGTGATGATGGTGATGATGGTGTTGATGGTGATGATGGTGGTGGTGGTGATGATGGTGATGATGGTGTTGATGGTGAGGATGGTGATGATGGTAATGGTGGTGGTGATGATGGTGATGATGGTGTTGATGGTGATGATGATGGTGGTGGTGACGGCGTGATGATGATGGTGGTGATCATGTGATGGCGGTTGTGGTGGTGGTGCTGGTGTCAATGCTGATGTCTGTGTGCTTCCCAGGCTCTGAGCCGAACACCCTTTGTGGATTCTCTCATTTGGTCCTCACAGCAGCCTTGGGAAGAGCATCTGTCATTGTCACCCTTAGTTAGAGATGAAGAGACGAAGCTGAGAGTCTCAGTAGTTTGCCCCAGACTTACTCAGCCCGTGGTGGCTGATGCCCTTGACTGCTGTCCTCACCAGACCACGCTTCCTGCTCCAGGCCCTGGCCTGCCCCTCGGCCTTGACAGGTGTGTGCTTCCTCTCCAGGGTACGGCGTCATGGCAGACGGGACCACCACCTATGTGAACGCGTCCGTGTGCACCGTGAACTACCAGCCCGTGAACCCGCCCATAGTCATCGACCTGCCCACGCCCCGGAACTCCTGACTGCCCCGTCGTCACGGCCCTCCCACTGCGGCAGCTGGTGTGCCTGGCTGAGAGCACGGAGCCCGCCCCCTCCACGCACACAGCCCGGCCGGCGGGGACCAGCCCGGCAGGTGCGCTGAGGCCTTGGACTGAAGCCTCTCACCCCTGACTCCTCAGCCTCCGTCACCGGGAGCCGGGACCCTGGGGCCCTCGGGGGCTCTGTGCTCATCGCTGTTTCCTGCGTGGACATCCGTGTGAAGGACCCAGGCGGCAGAGGCGGCGCCGGCTGTGCAGGGTCCGAGGGCGTGTCCGGGCTCTCTCAGGAACGCCGCTGCCCTGGAGCCTGCACCGGCCGTGTGGGTCCCGTTTCCTGTGGGCGTCTTTGCTGACACTCGCTGGCTCGCTCGCTGGCTCGGAGCCTGGATGATTCGGGGGTTGGTTGGTTCTACAGAATGAGCCCAGGACCCGCCGCAGGGTTCCCAAGTCATGGACGAAGCCTGGTCCCCCCCGGGCTGCGCTGGTCTGCACAACTCCGCGGCCTGAGGGCTCACAGGCCGAGGCCACCTAACCACGCATGTGCTCGGGCTGGCGTGCACCGGGCACACGCATGCACATGCATGCACGCACATGCACACCTTAATTTAATGAGCGGGTCCCCTGCTTCTCATTGCCGTCCTCCAGTGGGGTTCCCTCACGCTGTTTGGGTTCCACCTGGCGCGCCCACAGCCGAGGATGGCGAAGGGGTCACGGGCCTCGTCCCAGCGCCAGCTGGCCCGTAGCGGGAGGTGGCACAGCGACAGCACAGGCCCAGGGCCTCCCTTTTCTCCTTAAATCAGGACGGGGGTGGGGGTGGGGGCCTGAGTCTCTGAGGGAGGGGCAGCCAGCAGGGCCTGGCGGGGAGCGGCGAGGCAGGCAGGGGGGGCGCGAGCAGCGTCAGAGTCTGTCTTCCTTTATGATTGGGCCGTTGTGCTCAGCGTGGATGTTTCTGCATCAGCTTTGATTTTAACAAACCTGGCATTAAGATAGCATCCAGTGCCGTCCTCACTGAGGCTTTGGGTAAGCCCTGAAATTGTGCTCCCGAGGGGAGGGTCCGGCTCGCCTCCCCCGAGCCCCAGCTGGGAGCCAGCCTTCGCTGTTACATCTCATTTACCCCGTCCAGCCTGCAGGGTGGGCACCGCTGGCCCCGTCCTAGAGATGAGGTGAAGACCAGAGAGGCGGGGGAACTGGCCTCAGAAGCGGCAGCGGCAGGATCTGAACCTCGCTTTCCCCACCACCAGCTCCGCCCTGCACGGCCAGGCGTGCCCCAGGTCCTTGTTTGGTAACTGCGGTCCGTTCGGACCTGTCTGGTTCATTGCTCGTGGCGCCCGGAGCCCTGCACCCTGTTCCTCCTCCTCGGTGGCTCCTGGAGGGGCTCAGGGCACCACCGGTGGGGGAAGGGGGAGAGGGAGCTGCGGCCACATCGCACTGGCCCATGCCAGCTCAGCACTTTGGGGGGCAGCGCTTTGGGAGCCCTGTTTGGCCAAGTGGTTCCTGGCAGCTGGGGTGTGTGCGAGGCCCCGGGGTGCCCCAGACGCAGAGTTGGGGGTGGGGGGAGGGAGAAAAGGCCCTTTCAGCCGCCTCTATGCATTTCTATGTGGACCACGATCTATAACTTGTTTTCCTGAGATGTCTTCAGAAGAGGCTGTATTTTTATGTGGAGAAGGAAAGCTACGAAGGCAGCTGTTACTTTAAGAGAACATTCACTAACGTCCTTGGGGTACGGAGCTGATGGCGTGCTCCTCAACCATTTTGGCATAACTCGATTGTGGCTGTAATTTTTTTGTCAAGCATGTCAGACAATAAAGTCTTTGTAAAAAGAAAGGGAAGTCCCCGTGGTGCCTCTTCCTGTGTCTGTGTCTGTGGGGCATGTGGGGCATGTGGGGCAGGAGCAGAGCCAGCCCGTGAGTCCTGGGTCTGGGACCTTCCTCCCATGGTCAGCGACAGGTGCCCTTCTGCTCTCTCCAGCGTCCTGGGCACTGGGGCTCTCAGAGGTGGTTGGCGGGGGCAGTTCTGGGCCCTGTTGTGTTCAAATACCTTCCGGTAGCAGCATGTGCGACCCCACTCCTGCCAACCTAGCGGTCCAGGTGTTGTCCAAGAAAAGCTCTGGCAGCATAGTGACTCCAGGCCCAAAGCTCCTCAAGCTGCAAGAATCCTGCCCCTTTCAATCATCCATCAATTCATCAATACACCCATCCACTCACCTACCCATTGCCCCATCCATCCATCCACTCACCGACCTATCCATTCAACCATCCATCCATCCATCCATCCACCCACCTATCTATCCATCCATCCATCCATCCACCCATCCACCAATTCATCCATCCATCCACCCACCCAGCATCCATCTATCCACCCATCTAAACATTGACTCATCTACCCACCATCCATCTACTCATCCATCCATTTACCTATTGACCTATCCATCCATCCATCCATTCATTCCACACTCACTCACTGAGCACCTCCCATGGGCCTGGCTTGGACTAGGAGATGGCAGTAGAGCTGCTGACAGGGTTGGGAGATAGGTGGATGGGTAATGGATGTGGGGTGTGGGGATGGGAAGAGCTAAGATGGCAACGGATGTTGGCTGCCAGCATGAAGGTGGAGCATGGGAGTGGGAAGAGCAGGCTTAAGGAGAGGCATTGTGCCCGTGGGATATGCAGGAAGGTTTTTAAAAAGCATATATTTTTATTTACTTCAGAGAGGAGGGGAGAGAGGGAGGGCAACAGAAACATCAATGGTGAGAGAATCATTGGTCGGCTGCCTCCTGCACGCCCCACACTGGGCATGTGCCCACAGCCCGGGCATGTGCCCTGCCTGGGAACCTAATCCTGACCTCCTGGTTCATAGGTCGACGTTCAACTCCTGAGCCACGCTGACCGGGCCCTAAGGGTTTAAGGGTGGAGATTTTAAGGGGAGGGGGTCCCGGGGGAAGATCTCAATAGAATATTCGGCAGGTGTTTCCTTTCAGGGTCCAGGTCTCCACTGCGGATTGGTTGGTGTTGGGGCAGCTGGTGTGAGGTCAGGTGTGACTTCCCTGCCTGGGCCTGGAGCTGAGATGCAACTGAGGCCGGAATGTTCTCTGAAGGAAGCAGAGGTCAGGGGGGCCAAACCGCGTGACCAGCCACACACCCTCGAGGGGGGGTGTGGCAGGCGGCTAGACAGACCCGAGCAGATCAGGGTGGAGGGGCCCAGGACAGGTCACCAGGGCGGTAAGCCCCGGGTGCCTAGCGACAGGTGGGACCTTGACCCCAGGGTGACCTTTGCTGCACATCCCTAAGTGACCTGCACACACATGCATCTTGCTGAGCTTTCTGTTGCGACTGCACGGCATTTACAGAGGAGAGGAGGGAGAAGTGGTATTTTTAGAACGTCGCGTCTAGTGATTCACGCAAACCATTCCTCTCGATATTTAAATCTTTGCTTTCTGTCATCGCGCTCACGATTTTCACCTCAGGGACGCCGTACAGAGTGTGAGGGCTATACCTGAGCACTTCTCTGGGGGAGGGGCCGCCACAAACAGCTGTGTATTGAAGGCCACATTCCAGCTGTCCCTGTGGACACAGGCGTGGGTCCACCCTCGCGCGCTGTCCTGTAACTCGGTGCTCTCGGAGGGCTCTCTGGAATGTCCTAGGGGGCGGATTTACTTGTTTCTTCCCGTTTTCCCTTTTCTTGCCTTGCTGCTCTGGCAGGCCTGGCAGTGAGGACGCACACGGGGAGGGCCGTCCTGGCTGCTAACCTCTGGGGAAGCCATTGCTCCCTCACGCTCCCTGTAACGTCAGCTTGAGGCTTCTGTGAACGTGTTCTGTTCGGTTAAGGAGGTCCCTGTATGTCCCAGCCTGTTGAGGTTTTTCTGAGGAATCCATGCCGATTGATACAAACGAGGGGACTGCGATGTGGCCGCGTCTCCGGGAGTTCGCCCCCTGGCAGCTCACTGACCTTCCTGGAGAGGTGCTCCCTGTTCGCCTCCCGTTTGGGAGCCCCCCTCCTCCTGGGATCCCCACATTCACTGTGTGCGCTGCGTGCTCCCTGTGCTCCCAGCTCTCCGAGGCTGTGCTCGTTTCTCTTTTTTGTTGTTGTTTTAAGACCAGATGGCCTCAATTCACCTATCCACGAGTTTTCTATAAAACTCTTCTATAAGACCATTTCTCTTATTTTGGAAGGGTATTTTGCTAACTACAGAATTTTCTCCACTATTTTCTCTCTCTGCATTTCAATGTGTGTACGTGTTTTCTTCAAACTCACCCACCTTCCCTTGTGCTGAACGTACTATTGGGTCTGCCGAAGGCAGTCTGTTCCTCTTCCTTTTCCACTCCTGTGGGGCCCCGGGCCTGGCCAGAGGCGGAGGGAGGCACTGGCACCGGGAGCCCAGCGCTGCGGTCAGCAGTGCCCTAGCCCCTCGGCCTCCTGGCTTCGACTCCCAGGGCACTGGGCCCTCAGCCCTGAGACCCCGGGAGGTCCGGCTCCAGGCTGTGGGCTGGGGCTCTGAGGCTCCCGGAGACCAGGGCTCCCCACCCCTCCTCTCTTCTGTCTGTGCCTGCGGTCGGGGCCCTCCCGTTAACAGGTCTGTGTGGCACGGCGCTGCTGGCTGGGCGGGGGCGGCTGCGCCCGAGGAAGGCAGCGCAGGGGGAGGTCCATCTTTGCAGGTGCGGAAACGGGGGTGGGGGTGGGGGCAGGCTGCACAGGGCTGGGGCAGTCTCCCCAAGAAAGGAGCTGCTGGGCTGAGGGGTCCCTGCCTCCTGCCCTGCCAGAACCCCTCAGCCTCCACCCCACACCCCTGCCAGGCTGGGGGGGCGCTGAGAGCCTGGAGCACAGAGCTGCCTCCCCCACCCCAGACCGCCCTCCACGCCCACAGGTCTCCCTCTGCGGGGCTGGCTCAGCGTCTCCACAGGCGGAGCTGCATCTGCCAGGGCCGTGGCAGGGCCGTGGCAGGGCTGTCTGTGGCAGGTAGGGCAGGCGAGGCAGAGGCCCAGGTCTGTCCAGGACTAGGAAGCGCTGTCCCGGCCCCCACAGGCTCTCAGAATGGAAGCTCCAGCACGGGTGTGGGGACGGGGGAGGGGGAGAATGAGGGGAGGCTTGGGGGTGAGATGAGGGAGGGGAGGGGGGTCCTCCGAAGCCACAGAGCCCTCTCCACAGAGGTAATACTTTATTTGCTCAGACTAGCGAGGCGCTGAGGCTCGGGCGATGGCGGTCCCTGGCCAGGACGAGGGCAGTGCCGAGCGCTGAC